GGCGCCCTCGCCGGTTCTCGCCCGCCTCAGCCATCCAATCGGATGCCGCACCATCCCAGATATGGGCATGCGCCGCCGAGTGCGCGCCGATTCTGTTCGCTCGCGAGGATGCTCAGCTCGCGCCTTGGCCGCCTTTGTCTCCGACGATCCTCCTCTCTCCTGGCCTCGAGCCCGACATCCCCCCGACCTCGCTCCTCTCGTCTCCCCCCCCACTCAGGCCACGCCGGTCCCGGTACGGCCCCGCTCTATCCCGCTCAAAATCCGCCATGCGCTTCCCTCAATTTTCTGGTGCTTTTTAGGGTTGGCACAGGTGCGCACCGCCATTCGCTCTTACGATCTGTCTCCACGCCCTCCCCTTCCGTCCACCGTCCTTGCCCTCCTGCTGCTGCGTCTTTCGCCATATCTTCTGCGCAATCGCCACATCCATGTATTTATAGCCCCCGCGTGTTCAGTGCTCTCCTCCATACGATGTTCGTCCAGCACGTTCGTCGGGATCGACGGCCATTGCAACTTTTTGCTTGTCTTGACTCGGCGTGTACTACTACTCGCTCTTCCGTTCATATCACACAACGCTGTACTATTGCCAATCCTATGTCTTAGCCTCTGTGGCACAGTCCTGCTTTCTAATTACCCACTAGGTTTCTTTCTCCGCATTCCCCGCAGAATGCATTCTCTTCTCTCATTCTGAGGATATGAACTATCAACACTCCGATATCCGCCACTCAATCGGCCGGCCAGGATCACCCCCTATCGTGGCGTGCAACCACGGCATGAGCAATCACTACTGCCTCCGGGACCACACCCTACAAACATATTGCTCTGGTCCTCGCCGCGGTCTCGGTCGTCGATGTTGTCCAATGCTCGCTCAGGGATCCTCCGTCATTCGCCGAGGGAATACTCAGGCCTCAGCTGGCAGCCCTGCTCGAGGAGCCGTTACGTTACTCGGCCGACCCAGTTCCACGCGCGTCCCACACAGAGCTCGTCTACTTGCCATCTGCATACACCGCCCCCATATACTCGCGCACACACGGTCTACTCCAGTTACTTGTATTCCCGTCTCGTTGTGCACGCTTACTCCTCGCGAGGCCTTATCGCCACGATGATCAGAGGATACTCTCGCTCGACTGGTTCGGGCTCAGCCATTGCAGCATCTGAACATCCACATGCTGCGGCCGGGTATGGATCTAACAACACAAATGTATTGTCCTACGGCTGTGGCTTCTCGCATCCCGCCGGCCGCCTTTGCAACTGGGCCCGGCCGACTTCTCCCACGACGTCTCGCGCTTCTTCGCTCCCTGCCAGACTGACTTGTCCTGCGTTTCTTCTTACCCTGCGCGCCTCGCATGCTTGGACGCTGGCGCCGTTTGACTCCGGGCCTAGGCGGCGTCGATATTTCCTGATCCACGAGGTTGAGATGCGGGGTGGTGGCGGAAGGGGTGGCTATTTGTGGATCCCAATGTTCGCGGTCGCAGTCACTTGATGTCTCCCATTGGACTCTCCGTGAGGGGGAATCCCAAGCACGAGGTAGTTGCCGGGTGTTACGAGATGGCACCGAGGCGCAGTTTACAGACGTCCGGTCACTAAGTGTTCGTATATATTGGTCTGCTCTAGTCAACAGGTCGGACTTGTGGCGTTGAATGTCGTGTGGCAGTTGCCCTGCACTTGAGTCGTATACAAAGCTGCCACTCCTGGCTTGAACCACATTTGATGGAGATGGTCGTGTACGACACTGCTCGCCTCTATCAGTGTATTAGACATAACCTTCCAAATATCATCAGACATCTATCAATCCGCGTTCCCTTCACAAATCACTCCGTGAACTCTCGAGCCCGAAGGTCCCGTGCTCGTTTCCAAAGCACGATTCCGCACGAGCAAACGCACCACCAGAATTTCAGAACCCCTGGGCGGGCCGATTGGCAGTCACTCCAAAAATATGGGGTTGTCGCATGACGCTGAGTTGTCAGGCGGGGCACAGTTAAGCGTGCGTGCTTAATTCGCGCGACGACGCTTCGGGAAGTCGGCAAATTAATGCGGGGAAGAAGGACAGCCAAGTAGAGGGCATGTTCGCCCACATGTATGCACCGCTGCATATGGCCTTGGCAAAAGTCGAAAATTTCTGTACCCGCTTGCAGAGTCGCTGAGAGCGTCGAGCACGTCTGAGGCGTGAAGCCGTCATCGGAAGCGACAGTGACGCATTGACGAGCGGTCACAATCAAAGTCACGCGTATTTAGCATTATTTAGCCGTCCAAGCCTTGCACAGATCTCGGTGCCCGACCACCAAATACAACGAGTGCATAAGTAGCAGCTGGATACATGTCAGACAGCCGCCATGTCACGGATATTCCACTGACGTCGGCGAGCCCGTCATCGCACTGCTCTGTGCCCGCGATCGGGGCTGACGATTTTGTGCGCTCAGACAAACGAGGGAGAAATTTTCACAGTCGGAGGCGCCACAATGCAAGCAGATGGCCAAGTCCGAAACACAGCGAGGAGGCGGGCAGGCCAACCGCTGGACAAGCCGGGCAATGTCGAGCGGGCGCTTACGGGGAGTGTGTAATGGGAGTTGCGATGCGATGCGACGGGATCGGGTCCTCTTGCGCAGCTCTTCGCCGGACGCCGGTCGGCCCTCGGGATCGAATGCCCTCTCGCCGGCCGGCCGGTCCCGCTCCCGGGACTCCGGGCGATGGCCACTGCCCAGCGAGGGATGGGCTGCACCACAAGGAACACCTCCACCCCACCAGCCAGGGCGCCAGCTGCGATAAGCCGAATGGCACAATCCAGTCAGCGACGGCACGGCACGGCAGGAGCCTTGCAGGCTGTCAGGTCGCATCGCGGGAACGGACATCCCTCGCACGAGGGAAACTCGGAGCGATTTGCGAGGCCAAGAGAGACCACACACAAAGAGGAAGACAGCGAAATGAAGACTGACCTCCCCGAGCATCCCATTCAGGCAGATCTCCTGACGCTAGAATCTGACACATGATCGTACCATAGTCAGAACTACCCCTCTATCCATTGCACATCCAACGGCGTACACCACATCGGGCGTAATTGGAGCGCAGAGTAAGAGGCGTCACGGGCAGGAGTACAGACCGGTCAGCATCTCACCGCACGTTGGTTCATATAGCGCGCCCCGCAACCCCGGACGATGACGAAACCCCTTCCATCGACAGCAGTGCAGATCCTGTGCACGAGACTCAGCCTTGGTCGTCTGCATCTCGCTTTCGCTTCATCTCCTTCGAAACTTTGTGCTGAGCGGCCTCGTGCTTCGCCAGCTCGACTGGCACCTTCGATACCGGGCTCTTTGAAATTTCTGTTGAAGAAAAAAGGAATCTCAGTTTACCAACCGGCACGGTTATCAGATAACCGGAGAGCGTCGTACCTTGTCTGAGATCGTACCTGCATTCCCGACGCAGAGAAAAGCGGTTAGCATCTCGATTCGGAACTCGCTGATAACGAACGGGACGCACATCACTTCCTCGTCGTCATTTGTCAGAAGGGTGATTGCCGTTCCTTGCTTTCCGGCACGACCAGTACGACCTACCCATCGTTTCAGGTGAGCGATGATCTTCATCACATTGAGCCATGAGACATATCACGAACCGATACGGTGCACATAAGCCTCGATGGTGCTCGACATTTGGTAGTTGATGACTAGGCTGACATCTTGCACATCAATACCACGCCCAGCGAGATCTGTCGCAACCAGGATGTCCGAGTCGCCAGAACGCAGCGATTGCAACGCCGCCTCTCGCTGCTCTTGATTCTTCCCAGAGTGTAGCGTTGCAGCGCTCCACTGTACATATGGTCAGTATCATCCACCGGCTGAGCTGTGTATACAATGCTACTCACGCCAGCGCGCTGGAGGTCCTTAGCAACCACGTCCGCAGTCTTCTTCTGGTTGACGAACACAATGATGGGCGCAGCATATCCGCCGGTGTTAAGAATCTCCAACATTCGTTGCCTGCCACCGGGTGTTCAGCGACCCAGATCAAACGCATAGTGACAATAAGATCCTGACCTTTTCTTCTCGTCCCCGTTGACAAATTCGACTTTCTGTTCTACCGTATCCACAGCCCTTCCAGCCTCACCAATGGTGATAATCGCAGGTCGCTTCAAATATTTCTTGGCGAGGCGCTCGACGGGTGGCGGCATAGTTGCGGAGAACAGAGTTGTCACTCTAGTACGCCCACGCTTGACCATCGTTTCCCCGTCGACGTCCATCTGCTCACCTTGATCTTCGCCTTCCATCGTGTCGCTGGGAAGCTTATCCAGGATGAAAGTAAGGTCTGCCTCAAAACCAAGATTCACCATCCGATCGGCCTCATCCATGACAATGTAACGACATTGAGAGAGGACAATAACGTGCCGTTCAATAACGTCTTTCAATCGACCAGGCGTGGCGATGATAATTTCCGCGCCGGAACGCAGATTAAACTGTTGCTCTTCCACGGAACGCTACAAAAAAGGCTGTCAGTGATGTGCCGATTGGTGGCATGGAAGTAGATAAAAACACGTACCCCACCAACGATAGAGACACAAGTAAATCCAAGCGGACCCGCGAATTTCTTCGTCTCAGACTCGATTTGCTGAGCCAATTCACGGGTAGGTGCGAGAATGAGAGAATATGGGCCCAAATGTCTGTTGTCGTCCGTGAAAGGGGGTAACTTCGAGATGAACGACAGCATAGGAATGACAAAGGCAGCTGTCTTACCAGAACCTATCAAGGCAATTTAGAGCCATGAGCGGAGGCATATATTAGAAAACGCACCCGTCTCGGCGATACCAATGATGTCTCGGTTCTGCAAACCGATTGGGATGGCTTGCCGTTGAATGGGCGAGGGCTCCTTGTATCCAATCTTGTCGATGACGTCCAGAATTTGTTGTGGTATGATGGATTCCGTCCATGAACGGAGTGGATGCGGGATTTGTCCACCTTAGAACTCAACATAAGAAAAGACGCGTGGGACAAGCTGCGACTGAACCAACCTCTCGCGGCAATACTGAAGTCTTCGCGGAATATGCGCCAATCCCGTTCCTTCATCTCGTCCAGCGATTTCTCCGTCCAATGTCTCTCGTCCAGCCCCGATTTGGCAGCCTTTCGCCTCTCCAAGGGATCGGCTAGTTGCATACCCTCGGTACTGCTTTTCCGTCCCGCCGGTGCTGCTGCTCCGTCATCCATTCCAGCTATATGTCCGCGCCCAAACATGATCTGTGCACCTTGTCGCTGACTGCCAATCGCAGCCGGCGTTTCGGCATTGTATGTGTCGTCTTGCTCATCCCAGTCAAAGACGAACTTCCGATCGTTCATCTTCCGAATTTTTCGTTTTTTCTTATCGACGCCGAGATACCGTGACCTGATTGCGGTAAGATCATTGTCAGTCATGGGAGGTACGTAAGCTTCGGAGGCAGCGGCAGTAGCAGATTCCTCGTTCGAAGAGAAGCCAGGCGGAGGTGGGGGAGGCATTGACGACGGTGCGGGGGAATTTGACGATGTCTGCGGCTTGCTGCGGTCGGCGCGAGGGCCAGTGGGTACACCTTGGTATGAAGAAGACCGGCGGTCGTCCTGGGGCCGTCTATCACGTTCTCGAGCGTCTCGTCGTCCATACCTACTGTCCCTATCCCTCTCTCTGTCTCTATCGTATCTGTCGTCGTCTGTATGAAAGGTCATGATTGATTGGAGTATGAAGTGAGACCACTGCACTCACATCGACCGCCACCGCCGTACCTGGTAGCACGGTCTCGCTCCCTTTCCCTCTGGCGAATCTCCTCAGCATCCCGTTCTAGACGATCTCGGTCTCTCTTTGATTGATCGTCCTTCTCCCGCTGCTCTTTAATCTCCTGCGCCCGCTTTTCTATGGCAAGCTGGGCGCGCTGTTCCTTGCTGAGGAACCTGGGCTTGGGTCCACATTCAGTTTTTATGAGCCTATACCACTAGATTAAGGAGCATGCCTTTGATGAAGCTTCCTTCTCCTCTTTCTGCTTTTGCAACAGGCTTTCAATGGACAAAGGTTGGCCTCGGGTGGCTGCCATTATGGACGTCGAGAGGAAACGAGCCGTACGTCGTAAGCGCCAGACGAGTGCTCCCATCACGTGTTTAGGCGCTCTGCTCACGGTTTCCTAGGCGGCTAAAAGCGAAACGCGCTTGACGCGACTCGCGCCGTGCGCGAGGTTTTGCTTGTTGCCTGTGGCTGCTCTTTTTAAGCTCGAGAATCTTGTTTCCGACGGCGGGACACGTAGATCCTGTGCCCTTGTAGTTCTCTCCTCTACTTCTGTGACTTCGCCGCGATTTGCTTGGCTAGAATGAATCGCGAACTTGAGGAACTGAGGATGCAATCCCCGCGTCCCGAGACACCTGAGCCAGATTCACGGCAGGGACGTCGGAACGGTGCGTCTGGCGTGCAACTGCTCGATGCAGAAGGAGCTATATCGATACAGGTGTGCAGTTCTTGGCCTACTTTCGTGCGCGTTTTGACTCATCCTGCGTGTAGTTAGAATCATGTCTGAAGCACATATTCGCGAAATATTGCACACCGCGACCGGTTCCTGCGCAGAAAGGGGCGGGTTTGCTTTCTCCACCAGAGGGTGCGTATCTTGCCCCGGAGGGATTAGACGCATGGGCCCGGGATACAAATGGTGCTCCATTCGACGATGCGACGAAAGAGGAATTGATGGAATTTCTAGACGTTACGGAGGATGGTAATTTAACGTAAGTGTCCGTAGTTCACCCTCCTAAGTCTGTCCGATTTTTTAACGATGTGGTGGAATGACTTGCTGCAGATTTAAAGGATTCATGCAAGTATATCAGCTACAAACGGAGAATGATGAAGAAGAAACATGGAGAGATTTGGTATGTACTCGACGTCTGATGTATGTATACTGATATTCTAACTATGTTGCCATACGTGTCAGTCCAATCACGGATTTGATCGGACCCTCAGACTGGTTGCTACGCGGAGAGAAGATATGGATGCAGACGAGCGCGGCCCCTTGTGAGCTCCTCTCATATCACTTGATGGTCTGGATCTGAGTTTTTTTTACCTCTCAGGCTCTGATATTGTGATGTAAGACAAGCCAACTGTCATAATGGCCTCCAACAAGGATCTCCAGTCCGACTTCCCGCCAGAACATACACTTGATGGCATAAATATCGCACTGCTGTCATCCTGAATACCCAAGAGTTTAATGTCCTCACGATTGGCGTTTAGTGCCTGTCAGACCCACGCTATCTGTAACGTTTTCACAAGTACTCCGTCTACGATGTAATTGTTTCATTTCTGCTCATAAGGGTCTCGCGTTGGGAGAAATTCACGGCTCATGATCCGCCGCAGTCGACGGTATGTAATTTGCCCGAGGATCGGTATCGAGCGTACCGCCATACGTCAACTTCCAAATCTCTATGCCTTCCCAGTCCTCCTTCTTCCACTTTGCCCCACCTCGCTCCATGGCCTTGGCTACTTTTTTGTGAGGCACACGTTCTACCATGAAATTCCACACGTCATGCGCATCACGCAGGGCGTGGTCGATGAGCGCCGGGTCACGTCTCTCAATGCAGAGATACACTTGTGGGGGACGGGCAGCAGGTGCCCGGATTGTTGATAGTCTGGCGAGGCTATGTAGAGCACGGAGAAGCGGCTGTACAATGTCTGTCGAGTAGAGTGTATCTGCGGATATGATGAGATCAAAGGGCGGCTCTAGTGTGGTCCCCGTGTCTTCAAACTGGCCCTGAAGGGGAGACGCGATGAAGCGCGTGTTGGTCCAAACCCACTCGTCTGGGGCCACAGTCCAGTCCAATGCGCGGACTTGAATGAGTCCGCTGTCAGAGGGCAGATGGGAGGCATTACGTGCGACGTTGCCGGCAAGGACGCTGGATATGACCTCTGGGAGATCCGTCGCGACGACGTCCCATCCCATAGCGCTCAAGGCGAGCCTGAGGTGGTAACGAATGAATGGCTGGACGAGAGGGGCGCATTCGGCGGGACGCACGCAGAGAGGCCTATGCCGCTGCCGAGTTCGATGGCTCTGGGACGGGCTGTGCGGCGAGGAGGGCTGACATTGTCGGCCAAGTAGAGGGAGAGACACTGTGCACCGAGCCAGAGAGCGGTGCCGTTGGATGCGCCGTCGTCGCGCTGTGCGAGGTGGAAGAGGAGGCGACGGAAGGGGTGACGGAGGAGGGGACGGTGCTTGGAGCAGTGTGCCGGCAGAGGCGAGTCCATCCGCGCGAAAGAAAAGAGCGGCGCGCTGCCACGAGGCGCGTGTGATTCAAATCGCAGACGCCTTTCCTCCTCCCAAAGCCGGCCTCGTATCCACGTTCCTCTCTCCCGCAGCCTCCCTCTGTCCTTTCGCCAAGCTGGAGGCCGGCCCACCTCTGCTGCAGCCATGAAGGCCTTTCTCAATCGCATCAACCGCGGCTTGTCAAAGGAGAAGGACAAGGACAGAGACCTGGCTGCCCTCAGAGAAAAGATACCCCAACTGCCCCCCCTTCCCGACTGGCCCCCGCAGCGCACAACATCCACCCCGAGCACCATCGACTCGTCCAAGCCCCTTCCAGACCTGTCTCTGCGCCCCCTGCCCCCCATCGAGGAGCCTTTTTCTTCCATCTCGACCGATTCGTCCGCGACTCCAACTCCCATAGCTACCCTCCATCCGTTGCCCCTCGACGCGTCCGAGGATGGCTCGAGCATTCCCAGCAAGCACGGCTCTTCCGAGTCCTCTCGATCGCGCCCTGAACCCGACTCCGCAGGTCGCAGCTCGCGCAAGGCTACAAACGGCAGCATGAGCAACGGTACAAACGGCAGCGCGACCAACGGCACAAACAGCGACATCCAGAAGAAGGTCGCATTCCTGTCGCCTCCTTCTACGCCAGGGCCCACATCGGACCGTGCACTGCCTGATGCCGAGTCGCCCGCGCCTTCGACCATGAAGACCACCGTGTCCCGCTTTCAGGCAACCCATGTTAAGGACACTCGCGGTTCGACCTCTACCGCTGCATCTTCTAGGACCGATGTCTCATCTGGCCGCACTACGAGACAAGGCTCGCGTGCTGCGACATCCCCATTTCCAGCCAGGGATTATGGCGACGGCGCGTCTATCCATCAATCATTGCGCTCGACGACACCCTACTCACAGACCCCGAACTCGAGCAAGCATCGCATCCTGTCTGCCCAATCGTGGAGTGAAGTGGCCGAAGAGGACCTCGTGTCAAACATTGGTCAGCGCGAGCGCACGCGACAAGAAGTGCTCTGGGAGATTGTGGCGAGCGAAGAGCGGTATGTATGGTTCTAATGTAGTGTCGGACTTCGCTCACGGCTGAAACAGATACGTCGGCGAACTTTTGAAGCTGAAAGAAACATTCATTGACCCGCTTCTACATCCCTATTCAATGCCTTCACCCATAACCTCACCTACGCCGCTGGATGTCGACGACTCCCCTCGTTCAGATACGCCTCGCGAGTCTATTGAACATTTGCCCATTGCCTCTCGCTTCTTATCCCCACTAGGCTTCCGTTCCGACTCACCGACTGGCCAAGCTCCCTCATCACCGCTGCAACAGGACGATGGCCATCCCAACATCGACAGCGAGTCGATGAACTCGGCAGAAGAGGGGGAAGCGGACGACAAGATGGGTGCAGCTTATCATTCTGCACGTTACAAAAACGTCTCAGGCATGAGCCAAGCGGCGAAACATAACCACCCGCGGTCGCCATACAACTCGCGGTCCACGGGAGGTAAGTACGGTACATCCGTACCGTTCCCGTCCCGCTCACACCAGTCACTCCCCCCTCCACCACGCATGAATGCCTTGGCTTCGTCCACGCATTCACTAGGGAGACAGTCCTTGCTTGCGGATCGGGATCGAGACTACTCGGGTGAGTCGAGTGTAGCGCCTTCCAAGGCAACGTCCGGCTCGGGGACG